TCTCCATCCCCGATCTCATCTCCTCCAGTGATGTGCTCTCCACCCCTGCCTTCACTGCCACTCACTCCAGTGGTCATGCCCTTGAGCAAGACTCCTCAAGAGTAGCTTACACTAGCTGCCTCCAATTCACTGATTCTCTGTTGAACTGACTCTCATAAGGTTTCCATCCCACCACTTCCTAGAAACCGCTCCTGTCAAGCATCCTAGTGACCTCCAGCTTGTTAAATTCACTGACCAATTCTCCGTCCTTATCCCACTTGACCTCTCAGCAGCATTTGCCACTCTTTCCTCCTTGACACTCTCTTCCCTTGGCATCCAGCATCCACCTTCTGCAGGCTCCCCTAATCCCCACCGCCTTCACCTCCTCAAACTCTAGGGCTCAGTCCTTAGACTTCTCTGCCCTCGCCCCAAAGTGATCACACCCAGTCCTGCAGCTCTCATGGCCATTTATATCTGGGGTGACCCCCAGAGTATCTCCAGCCGAGGCCTCTCCCAGGGTTCCAGACCCATAGATCCTATAGACTACTCAAGACCTCCATTTGGCTGTCTCCCAGGCAGGTCAAATTTAACAGGTACAAGACTGAGCTCTTGATCTTCCCCACACCTTGCTCCTCCAGAGGATTTCCCACCCATTTATGAGAAATTTCATCCTTCCAGTTACTCAGGCCCAAAACCTTGGAATCACCCTTGCTCCTTTTCTTTCTGTCACACCCACAGTCCATCCATAAGCAAACTATCTTCCCCTCCGCTGATTTCTCACCAGGATTACTGCAGCACCCTCCAGACTGGTTTTTCTGTTTTAACCCTTGCCCCCTTCTGTCTATGATCCTGTTAAAATGTCCATCTGATTGTAGCAGTGCCCTGGTGAAAATTCCAGTGGCTTTCCACCTCACTCAGAAGGAAAACCTAAGTCCTTTTTAGTGATCAGTACTGCCTCACTGGGCTGCCCTGTGTCCTCTCTGAGGACATTTCCTGCTGCGGGTCCCTCACTCTGGGCCACCCACACTGGCCTTCTTGCTGTTTCTCAAGCTCACCAGGCACGCATTGTCCTGAGGGCTTTGAGCCAGCTGTTCCTTCTCCCCTAAGTGTTCTACCCTCAGAAAGTCACGTGGCTCACTCCCTTACCTTCTTGACTCTCATCATTTCCAGTCTTGCCTGATCACCCTATTTAAAAGTAAAGCCTTCTCCCTGATGGATCTTAGCACCTCCCTTCTCCTTCCCTGTTTGACCTTTCTTCACAGCACTTACATCATCTGTGGTGGGCTGAAGCACATGGCCACAGTATTTTGCAGTTACTCCTGTCAATCTGTGCTAGGCTTGTGACCAGTAGAATGTGGTGTATCAGCTCCAGAGCCTAGAACAGAAGAGATCTTGCAGCTGCTGCCTTCACCCTTTTGGAAAACTGCCCTGAGGCCATCGTGCATTGAGGAAACCCAGGAGGAAAGACTGCAGAGAGGCTCAACCATCCCAGCGCTCCCAGCTGAGATCAGCTGCCCACCAATCCCCAGCTGAATGCAACCATAAGACTGAGCCCAAGCCAGGTGCAGTGGCTCACGGCTGTAATCCCAGCACTTTGGGAGGCTGAGGTGGATGGATCACCTGAAATCGGGAGCTTGAGACCAGCCTGACCAACATGGAGAAACCCTGTCTCTACTAAAAATACAAAATTACCTGGGCATGGTGGCGCATGCCTGTAATCCCAGCTACTTGAGAGGCTGAGGCAGAAGAATCACTTGAATCTGGGAGGCGGAGGTTGCGGTGAGCCAAGGTTGTGCCATGGCACTCTAGCCTGGGTAACAAGAGCGAAACTCCATCTCAAAAAAGAGAGAGTGAGCCCAGGTGAGACCTGCAAAGATTTGCCCAATCAAAGCAAATCTGTATATTTGTGGGATAAATGCATAGAATGACTAGACAAATGAAAGACAGGCCAGACAGGCCAGAGCTTTGTGTGGATTTTAGTTAATATGACCTAGTACTCAGTCCTACTTTATGAATTCTCTTTTATACATCAAAGTCCTTACTTGCAATGTGCTATCAGGCATGAGGTGTTTAAGTGTCAGCAACCGAATCTGGTGTTGCATTTACTCTACCATAGCATATGTCAGGGGTCAGGCCCACACTGTATATGGAAATAAGACTGTCATCTCATTTGCTATTACCAAATGACTCTAATGTTACCGTTGTTTATCAAAGTTGGAGTGTTTAAATATTTTGAAATATTTTTTAACATATCTCCCTCTACCCCACCAGTGGACATTTAGCTGGGGTCTACATGCTTGTTAATTTTTTCTTATAATTTCCTTTTTCTCTCCACTCTCAATTACTTTTATTCTCCACTGGATGTGAAAAAAAAAAGCCTCTTTAGAAGCAGACTCACCGAAATTTATAGTAAATGCTTAATACTTCTTCATTCCAGAATACAAAGTCTTTTATGTTCTACTAAAAATAACTTTGACTTTTATGCCCTTGTTTCATTCATCATTATAACCATACGACATTTTTTTTTTTTTATTCCAAATAATCCCCACCCCAGCCCTCTCCAGTCAGGCTGAGAGTCCTCCCCCAGGAGCCAGTGCTTTCCATTCCTCCTCCTGGCTTTTTTTTTTTCCTTTTCCCTAGGTTACAAAATTGATCCTAAAAATACTAAAATATTTGAATTGCTTTCTATTGTCATAAAGTTATTACTTTTTCATTCAAAATGAATATCTCTTTATCTTAAATAAAAGTTGAAGCCAGGTACAGTGGCTCATGCCTGTAATCCCAGCACTTTGGGAGGCTGATGTGGGCAGATCATTTGAGGTTAGGAGTTTAAGACCTGCTGGCTGAAAGGTGAAATCCTGTCTCTACTAAAAAATACAAAAATTAGCGGGTGGTATTGGTATATGCCTGTAACCCCAGCTACTTGGGAGGCTGAGGCATGAGAATTGCTTGAACCTGGGAGGCAGAGGTCGCAGTGAGCTGAGATTGTGCCATGGCACTCCAGTCTGGCCGACAGAGCAAGACTCTGTCTCAAAAAAAAAAAAAAAAAGTTGAAAAAATAAAATAAAAATAAAGAAATATCTCTTTTTTTCTCTCTCTTTGAGGATTACAGGTGTGCACCACCATGGCTGGCTAATTTTTGCATTTTAGTAGAGACCAGGTATCACTATGTTGGTCAGGCTGGTCTCAAACTCCTGATCTCATGATGTGCCTGCCTCAGCCTCCCAAAGTGCTGGGATTACAGGTGTGAGCCACCGCGCCTGGCATATCTCCTCTTTTCATATGACAGAGGTTAGTCTTCTTTTTCTGGTGGAATATAGTAAATTGTTAAATTACAATAGCGTGTTGTTAGAAATCTTGCATGATATCTAATGAATCTGGCCTCCCTGTCTTCCGGCTGCATGGGGCACCACAGCTTTCCAAGGTCATGTGCGAATGCTGAGTTGGCTGCTCTGTACCAGGTGTGCATGGGACACAGGAACCCATCTTCTACATTGCTTAGGTCTTTCTTCCCTCCAATCTGCATATTAGAAAAGCATAATTTGGGACTAAATTTTGATGATTGATGGTCATGATTTAAAAGCTAATACTTTTTTATCACTTCTTTGTGCCAGGCATTTGGCATTTAATTCTCTCATAAAGCTTACCCAAGAATCAGCATTTATTATCTGTTTTATAACTGATGAGACTAAGGCTCAGAGAAGTTAAATGACTTGCTGAAAGTCACACAGCTAGCACTTGCAAAGCCAGGTTTCAGATTTCCCAAGCAGTGCTGGACTTAGTGCTCCTAACTGTTGGGCTACATCTCCAAACACAGATTTCTGGTACTTTTCCCCACGGTGCAAGGGATGGTGACTGTGCCCAGCACTTTTAACAAAGTGCGTGCTCTGCTTCTAATGTAAGGACTCAATGCTGTTCTTTAATTGAACCTATAATTACTGTTTTGTTAAGTTGGGAAAAGCTCTGGCTCCTATTGTTAGCAATCATAGAAAGTGTTCTAGCTGGGCGTGGAAGCTCACACCTGTAATCTGAGCACTTTCAGACGCCGAGGAGGGCAGATCGCTTGGGGCCAGGAAATCGAGACCAGCCTGGGCAACATGGTGAAACCCTGTCGCCACTAAAAATACAAAAATTAGCCAGGTATGGTGGTGCACGCCTGTAGTCTCAGCAAATCAGGAGGCTGAGGTGGGAGGATCCCTTAAGCCCAGGAGGTCAAGGCTGCAGTGAGCTGAGATTGAGCCATTGCACACCAGCCTGGGCAACAGAGCAAAAAGAAAAAGAAAATGTTTCATTTTAAATAGACCTACTATATTATCAGGCGAGGAAAAGTTTAAAATAATGGTAACTACCATATTATCATTTTATAACTTCTATATTTTGTGTCAAATAAACTTGTTATCACTCAGCTTATCATTATTATTATTATTATTATTATTATTATTTGAGACAGAGTCTCACTCTGTCACCCATGCTGGAGTGCAGTGGTGCAATCTCGGCTCACTGCAGCCTCCACCTCCTGAGTTCAGGCGATTCTTCTGCCTCAGCCTCCCAACCAGCCGGGATTACAGGAAAAAAAAATTAGCCGTGTCCGGCTAATTTTTGTATTTTTAGCAGAGACAGGGTTTTGCCATGTTGGCCAGGCTGATCTCAAACTCTTGGCTTCAAATGATCCACCCACTTGGCCTCCCAAAATGCTTGAATTACCGACATGAGCCACCACACTCAGCCAGATTATTTTTAATTAATAAGAAAATGAGCGGGGCATAGTGGCTCACACCTGTAATCCTAGCACTTTGGGAGGTCAAGGAGGGCAAATCACTTGAGGTCGGGAGTTCAAAGTCAGCTTGGGCAACATGGTGAAACCCCGTCTCTACTAAAAATATGAAGATTAGCTGGGCCTAGTGGCGGATGCCTGTAGCTCCAGCTACTTGGGAGACTCGCTTGAGCCCAGGAGGCAGAGGTTGCAGTGAGCTAAGATCATACCACTGCACTCTAGCCTGGCAACAGTGAGACCCTGTCTGAAAAAAAAAAAAAAAAAAAAAAAATGAGTTATTTATTCAGATCTGTTGATTAGAAAAGAGATGATAAGAAAAACTTCCTCTTTTTAAGAATGACAAAGTTACATAAAGGTTAAGTCTGTGCTCTCCGATAAGTAGCCACATGTGGCTACTTAGCATTTGAAATTTGGCTGGTTTGAACTGAAATATGTCGTAAGTGTAATGTACAAACCAGATTCTGAGAACTCAGGACACACATACAAAAAAGAATGTAAAATTGGCAACTTTTACATCAATTACATGTTGAAATGACAATAATTTGGATATACTGAGTGAACTAAAATATAACTATAAAGTTAATTTGCTTGTTTCGTTTATCATTTTAATGTTGTTAGAAAAAATTTAATTATATATGTGACTTCATATTTTCTATTGGACAGTACTGAATTAAGTGATTACTTATGGATAAAAGAAAGTATTAGTGTGAGTGGAATCAATCAATTCATAGCATACATGTTCACCAGCGAAAGCATTTTTTTCCCAAGTGATAAGCTTAAATATCTCTGTGATATCAATGCTACCATTTTCTCAAAGTGGCACCCTGCTAAGGCTGCCACTACATTCCTAAGAGCCACGGGAAAAGGCATTTGCTCCTCTGAAGAAATTCTCAGACTGATTTTTCACCACAGGTACTTCCCTGTTCTTTATATGTTACCGATGTGGACCGGGGTAACATATAAAGAACAGGAAAGTACCGACATTTCCCATGTGGGTTTCAAAGCAGATGGCATGGTTGAGAGCAGCGGGCACCATTCAGATCGGCCATCTCCGCGGCAGAGGCAGTTGTCTCCAGCGCAGCGGTGCAAAGCCAAAGGGCACCCACGAGTTCATTACATAATTCCTGGTAGCATGAGGCCAAGTGTGTATCTGCTCTGGGGGAACAGTCAGAGGCTCTGACAGTCAGACCGAGGCGGTCATGACTGTGTTTTCACAAAGTGTATGCTAGCGGTTGTTTGTTTGGAAAAAGACTGACCAGCTTTTCTTCCCTGTTCCTTTCCCCTCTCTCTTTTTTTCCCTTGTAAACTCTCTGGCATAATACTGAATGACTTTGTTTTTAAGCTGCCTTAGGCTTGCTTTGTGAAGAAAAAGACTGAATATCCTTTCCCTGTGGGACACAAGTTGTTATTTTTGGAGCAGAGGTTCTTAGCCTGATCTCTGTCTAGATCAATTTCTGTCTTGATGAGGCCATGGTCCGTGACAGCTCCGAGTGTCCTCCGAGGAGGGAGGCTTCCTCACTTGGTGGGGAGCCTGGGCAAAGATGTCTAGGGGCCACATCCGACACTTCACTGCTCTTGGTCTCCACACGAAGGGTCCTGGGCATTCAGAGTCTGCTCGTTAGATTGTGCCCTTGGAATAGTCGCGACCGCATGCCGTGAGTGGTGTGCTTTCTGTCTTTGGGATCATGGAAAATTCTTGTCTCATTCAGAGCCCAGACACTCCAGGCCAACTCCCTTCATCTATCTATTTCAGGAATATGGCTTTTTCTGCTTATTCACTTCATGGTACGTTTTGGGTGGAGATGACCCCTCTTTTAACCCAGATCACAGACTCCAGGTCACAGACGCCTCAGAGCTAAGAAAGCTGGAGGATTTCTGCAGGCTATTTGGGATGCATCTGCCTTGGCCAACACTGGAGACTCATCGGGCTTCTAGGAACATGTTTCCGGACTCAAAACTCAGAGCATCCCCTCTGTAACCTGCTCTTCGTGTTAGGCTGTGAGACCCCGGGAGAAAACTGCTCTGACTTCTCACAGTTCCTCTGCCTGACCTGCTATTCCTAGGAGTTTCCATAGCTTGAGCCTACTAGGAAACAAGTAAAATTAGAAACAGATTAAAATACTGCATCGGCAACAAATTAGATGACAATGGTGTGATCACTCCCTTGGAAGACATTTCTAGCTGGATATTCAGGGTCCAGGGCTATGTGGAGAAAGACCCTAAGACCAAGGGTCCAGCCAACCCCAAGGGGGTGTTGGCCCTGGCAGGTGTCCCAGCGGCTTTCACCTTGGCAGGTGGGAGCATGACCTGTCATGTGCGGTTCCTGGCGGGCTATACATAGCCAAAGCTTCTTACAAGTGAAACCTCTTTCGCACCCTCCACGGGTCCCTCCCGCAGGTCAGAGAACTCGCTGTAAATCCCTGAACATTGTCTCACCCGAGAAGGGGACACAGCCAGCAGCCCTCCAGCCCTCCGGCGCTTTCCGTGGGAGTGCACCCCGTGCTCAGCCATGGTGGACATGGGGGCCCTGGACAACCTGATCGCCAACACAGCCTACCTGCAGGCCCGGAAGCCGTCGGACTGTGACAGTAAGGAGCTGCAGCGGCGGCGGCGCAGCCTGGCCCTGCCCGGGCTGCAGGGCTGCGCGGAGCTCCGCCAGACGCTGTCCCCGAACTTCCACAGCCTGTGCGAGCAGCAGCCCATCGGCCGCCGCTTCTTCCGAGACTTCCTAGCCACGGTGCCCACATTCCACGAGGTGGCGACCTTCCTGGAGGACGTGCAGAACTGGGAGCTGGCCGAGGAGGGGCCCACCAAGGACAGCAAGCTGCAGGGGCTGGTGGCCACTTGTGCGAGTGCCCCTGCCCCGGGGAACCCACACCCCTTCCTCAGCCAGGCCGTGGCCACCAAGTGCCAAGCAGCCACCACCGAGGAAGAGCGAGTGGCTGCAGTGATGCTGGCCAAGGCTGAGGCCATGGCCTTCCTGCAAGAGCAGCCCTTTAAGGATTTCCTGGTCAGCCCCTTCTATGACAAGTTTCTGCAGTGGAAACTCTTTGAGATGCAACCAGTGTCAGACAAGTACTTCACTGAGTTCAGAGTGCTGGGGAAAGGTGGTTTTGGGGAGGTAAGTGTCACCCAGTAGCCAGGCTAGAAGGTGAAGCATAGAGCGTGAAAAGGGTCAAGTGATGTTGCTTTTCTTTTTTTTTTTTTAAATCTCGGGAACTTATTTAGAACTAATTTCAGGATCACAGGTGGAGGATTCCTAGCCCGTCTCCCCAGCCCCCTTCCTTGTAGCCACAGGTGTGAAATAAAATACAAATAGCATGAGAGAGACGAGCAAAATGTAGACTTGGCCAAGACTCTCTGTCATGGGTCTCCATCAGGAACGTGCTGAGATGTCCAGACACTGGAGAACAACAGCCACGTGTGATGAAAGGTCTCCTTTTCCCCTAAATTGTGGTAATGAAGGTAATTTGAGAAAAATAGATATTTAAGAAAACACTCTAGCCAGGTGTGGTGGCGCACGCCTGTAATCTCCGTTACCCAGGAGGCTGAGGCAGGAGAATCACTTGAGCCCAGGAGGTGGAGGTTGGAGTAAGCAGAGATCGTGCCACCGCGTTCCAGCCTGGGTGACCAAAAAAAAGAAAAAAGGAAACACTGATTTTGAAGTAAGGAAACATTGATCTTGAGAACCTGTTTTGCACCACTGCTGTGCCCAGCTCTTCCTGTTTTTAAGTAATAAAAAATATTTCAAATAAAATTTGCTTTATATGAAACAAACCATTAACCGTTTTAAAATGTACAATGTAGTGGCACTTGCTGCATGTACAATTATGTTGGGTAACAAACACCTCCGTGTAGATCCAAGACGCTTTCATCACCCCTGTGCCTACTTGCAGTGCCTGCCCATCGCCCTCCCCTGCAGCCCTGCCAACCACTAGTCCACTTTCTGTCTCTAGGGATTTGCCTATTCTGGATATTTCACACAATATGTGACCTTCTGTGTCTGGCTTCTTTCATTCATTATAACGTTTTGGGGGTTCATTCACACTGTAGCATGTGTCAGTACTCCATTCCTTTTTATGGCTGCATAATATTCCATTGTATGGATATACTACGTTTCATTTAGTCATTCATCTGCTGATGGACACTTGGGTTGTTTTCGCCTTTTGGCTATTGTGTGTGGTGCTGCTATTCATGCACTAGTATTTGTTTGAATACTTGTTTTCATTTATCTTGGATGTATGCCCAGGAGTGGAATTGCTAGGTCATACGGTGATACTATGTTTAACTTTTTAAGGAGGCACCAAACTTTCCACATGTTTTATTCCCACCAGTGATGCTCAAAAGGTTCAATATCTCCACATCCTTGCCAGCACTTGATATTTTCCTGTATTTTTTTATGAAGGCCACCGAGTAAGGTGAAGGAGTATCTCACTGTGATCCCCACTTTTTCTTGAGAACACTTCTTACTTACAGCTTCTCCTTTCTCCACAGCCTGCCATCTTTCCACCCACCTCCTCCATCACCTTCTCTCCGCCTCTCTCCAGTGCCATCTACCTCTACCTCTTCCTCTTCCTTTCTTTCTCCTTCAAGGTATGTGCCGTCCAGGTGAAAAACACTGGGAAGATGTACGCCTGCAAGAAACTGGACAAGAAGCGGCTAAAGAAGAAAGGTGGCGAGAAGATGGCTCTCTTGGAAAAGCAAATCTTGGAGAAGGTCAGCAGCCCTTTCATTGTCTCTCTGGCCTATGCCTTTGAGAGCAAGACGCATCTCTGCCTTGTCATGAGCCTGATGAACGGGGGAGACCTCAAGTTCCACATCTACAACGTGGGCACGCGCGGCCTGGACATGAGCCGGGTGATCTTCTACTCAGCCCAGATAGCCTGTGGGATGCTGCACCTCCATGAACTGGGCATCGTCTACCGGGACATGAAGCCTGAGAACGTGCTTCTGGACGACCTCGGCAACTGTAGGTTATCTGACCTGGGGCTGGCCGTGGAGATGAAGGGAGACAAGCCCATCACCCAGAGGGTGAGTGACTCTCCACCTGCCCCAAGTATGGGGCACAGAGTGGGAAAGGAGGGGAGAGGGCTGTTCTGTTCCCAAGGCAAGCAGAGCCTTGGACTTAATACCTTTGGTTTTGTTTTTTTTTTTTCCTAAAGCGCTTACGTTGTCATCTTGCCTTAAGAGGAGGGGTGTAAGAGGATTAGCTTCATTGGCTATTTGGGGGCTACTTTGTTCTCCTCTCACCTGGAATGGGGGAGCCTTCTTTGTGACTGGGGATGGCCTGTGCCTTCATGGTGAGATGGAAAGAGCTGAATCCATAGTCAGGGTCCAGATGTGTCCCATCAATAACCACCTCTGTGGTGCTGTGTTCCTGAGCCCATGGAGCCTTGGTTTCCTTTTCTGGAAAATGAGGGGGCTGGACTCTAAAATTCCATGATCCTAGGAGGTAAACTTTAATCGGATAAGAAAAAGAATGATCCAGCTGGGTGTGGTGGCTCACGCCTGTAATCCCAACACTTTGGGAGGCTGAGGCGGGTGGATCTCCTGAGGTCAGGAGTTCAAGACCCCCCTGGCCAACGTGGTGAAACCCCGTCTGTAGTAAAAATATAAAAATTAGCCGGGTATGTTGACTGGCACCTGTAATCCAAGCTACTTGGGAGGCTGAGGCAGGAGAATTGCTTGAACCCGGGAAGCAGAGGTTGTAGTGAGCCGAGATTACACCACTGCACTCAAGCTTGGGCGACAGAGCAAGACTGTCTCAAAAAGAAAGAAAGAAAGAAAAAGAATGATCCTCTTATACCCAGAACATTAAAAGTAAAATATCTCCTTTTCTGTTTAGCATGGAATGGGGGAATGTTTTGCATTGGATGAAGATGAAATTTTAAATGAAAATATGTAGAAGAAAATTTTGATCAGTTTGGTTCAAAGTGACTTGCTAAAAATTCTTTGGTTGAAAGGGAATTATAATTATGCAATTATGTTAAGTGAACAATGGAAAATCTCTGGAATTCTAACATCTTTACCTCTGAGTTTCTGTGCACAAATGTGGGTGATTTCACAGGAAGACAAGGGCTCAAACCTGGCTCTCAAATGCTTACTTAAAACCTTATTTTTGTACAGTTTTCAGCCTACATGGCACAAAGGAAATGAAAAAAATCATGGCAAGTTTGGGAAACTGCTGTGGTGATTTTATGTGGCTGTAATGGAAGGGATATTGACAAGACATGAAGGGCTGGGCCTACATAGGCACTGGAATGCCTTCTTGTAGGGGAAGAGGGGCTCTTGAGGGGTTATAAGAAGGGAGATGACATGATTAGATTTCTGTCTTAAAAAGATCAATGCAGCAACAATTTGGAAGGTAGACAGGAGGTGGGGAAGTTAGGAGGCTAAAGTAGTGAGTGGCCCAGGCAAGAGATAATGGGGGTCTGTAGAGGACGGTGGGATTGAAGAAGTGGGAGCAAACTGGAGCTCTTGCAAAGAGATCTGATGGGACTTCAGGACCAGCTGGGTATGGGGGTCAGGGAAGGTGAGGGTCTCTAGCTCCAGCAGCCAGAAGGAAGAGCAGATTGATAGGCAAGCTGGCAAGATTAATTGTGATTATGTTGTCTATGAGGTTCCTGTAGAAGGGGCAGGTAGAGATTGTTCACTGGGCATTTAGACCTGTAGGCCTGGCGCTGGGGAGAAAGACCTGGGATAGACATGAGGATTTGGAGTCATCATGGTCTGGGAAGCACAGGGCACTGCTGAGTCACTGGGAAAGAACGAGGGAAGAAGACTAGAAACAGACGCTGAAAAACACCAACATGTATGGGATATAGAAGAAAAGGGCCCTGAAGAGGTTTAAGAAGTAGTAGGAGGCAGGAGTGGCATAGTCAAGGCAGCTGTGTCAGTTAGAGATGGGTTTCAGCTGCATATCCTAGAAAACCCAAATGACAACAGATTAAACAAGACAGAGGTTTATTTTTCTTGTGTAACATGGTGTGAAAACAAGCAGTTGCCAGCATTAATTCAGCAGCTGCAGGATAACAGGATCTGCTCTTTATAATTTTAGACTTTTCCACATGTTGCAAGATGGCTGCTGTAGCCCCAGCCATCAGGGCCATGTTCCAGGCAGGAGAAAGGAGGAAGGGTCAGGAGTAAATGGGCATGCATGCAGCAGTTGACTGTGCCCCCTCTTTAAGGAGCTTTCCTTGAAGCTTCATCCAACAGCTTTTGTTCAGATATCACTCGCTGGGACTATGATCTGGCCACCCCCTAGCTGCCGGGGAAGCTGACAAATGACATTCTTGAACATTCTTTGGTTAAAAAGGGAGTGATAATTAAGTAATTATAATTACTGAATTATATCTGGGCTGAGTAGAAGATCACCCAGCTCATGTCCAGGTCATGTGTGCCCATGTTGTAGATGTGGAACTTGGAGCGGGTGAGGGAGGGGGTTCTAGTTAGTAAGGATGAAGAAAGCCTGGATATTGAGCAGGTAACTAGCAGCCTCTGCCACAGGAGCCAAAGAAGAGGATTTCAGGGAGGAGGGTGTGGTCAATGTGTCAAGTACTGCAAAGTGGGATTTGCTGATTAGGAAATCAGTGTCAGGGCATGAGGTCTCAACTCAGACTGTGGAGATGGGATTGATCTAGAAGTAGGGAATGAGACTCTGGAAAGGAAGACTGGTCCCTAAAAGGAGACTGTTATGTATAAATTTTTTCTTTTTGGTGTTGCAAAGAAAAATTAGTACTGGCACAAAAGATCTCTCAGCAAAGCAATTCTTTTTACTTCCTGTAGAAAGGGTGCTCCCACTAGCAATTTTGCCAGGAGAGTACAATGAACAAAGGAAAGCAGACAGATTTATTTCTTACATGTTTGGGATTGTCCTTACTGCTGTGTCTGGTCTTCATTGGCTGGAGCCAGATCTCACAATCTAAACTAAAACCTGATTGGCTAATAACTTGAAACTTTTCTAAACAGGTAAAAGCAATGGAGAGGAAAAAAAAAAAAGTAAGTCCAAATAAGGAAGGGACATAGACTTCGAGCTGGGACGTGCCTGTGAGCAGGTCCAGCACAGATGTCTTGGTTAAAGTACAAGGACATAGAATGTACTGTGTGCCTGTAAGCATGTCTAACAGCTACACAGGATAGGGCTTTTAGCAAAAAGGCAAGAAGGCTTTTGAAGAAAGTGTTTAAAACAAACTATTATTTCTAACGCTTAAGAATTTTTCAGCCGGGCGCGGTGGCTCAAGCCTGTAATCCCAGCACTTTGGGAGGCCGAGGCGGGTGGATCACGAGGTCAAGAGATCGAGACCATCCTGGTCAACATGGTGAAACCCCGTCTCTACTAAAAATACAAAACATTAGCTGGGCATGGTGGCGCGTGCCTGTAATCCCAGCTACTCAGGAGGCTGAGGCAGGAGAATTGCCTGAACCCGGGAGGCGGAGGTTGCGGTGAGCCGAGATCGCGCCATTGCACTCCAGCCTGGGT